CTAGCGAGGAAACAACTTGCGAGAATCGGAGGACAGGGGGGGCACGACAGCGTCGCAGAAACACTCTGCACCAACGTCGCGACAGTGGAACACCATGCCACACCGCACGCCTGGGCTGCAACTCGGCGCCCCCTGTGAGCTCCCAAAAGTCGCAATGGTCGGCCGACTGCGCCACCTGATATGTTACGCGCCCGGCCCGATTCCCTGAGAAAGCGCCGACGATGCTATCTGCGATGCAGGCGAACTCTGAACTGGGCATTCCATGCCCTGCGAAACTGCTGCGCCGCTGGAATTCCGCAAGACGCCTGCGCCACTGGAACTCCGCAAGACGCGTGCACCACTGGAACTCCGCATCTGAGATGCAGGCAAGCCGCGCGCCAACAGAACTCCGCAGGACGCGCGCACCACTGGAATACCGCAAGACGAACTGATCCCCAGGACCTGAGAAACTACTGGTGCTATCTTTGATGTAGGCTAACTCCGAGCCCCGAGAAACTGCCGATGCTATATACGATTTCGGCGAACTCTGAAGAGGTGGGCTCCCATCGCCCTGAGAAGCTGCTGGTGAAACTATCTGCGATGGCGGCGAACTCAGAGGAGGGCCCCCCGCGCCCTCGGTCACATTCGTGGGAATAGGATGTAAGCTCGACTGCGACACCTGTGGCGGATCCAGCACACACGGGCAATCACGGCGTCTAACTAACCCATGAGCGCGCCCTCCATCTTCAGCAGCTGCGAATGAAAAACCCACTTCGTCTTCACCATCGGTCCCCGGCCTGGCTTGTAAGTCGAGCCCGTCTGGATGAGCGCTTCGTGAATCACCGCGAAGTAGACGTCGCTCTGGCCTCAGAGGCTCAGCTGGATCTTGCACTGTGCCTGGTCGCGCGTGTCGCTCGCTGTCACCAGGGGGGCGAGCTCGGTGATCTGCTCCAGGTCCATCTGCTTAAGCTTGTCGGTCAGCGTTTGCAGGTTCTGCTGGTTGAGGCCTCCGGCGCAGGCGCCATTCTGAGCGAGGTCTTCGAGGAGGCTTGCGAGCGCTGCGGTGCTGATCGTCCCGGTCTTGGCCATCTCTGCGTCGATCTGCTGCTGAAGCGTACAGCTGCTTATCTCCTTGCGTTTTTTACCCACGCGCGAACCCTCGTCTTGATCGCCACGACGCTTTTCGCACCAGGGGAGACGAGGTAGGCCTTGATCAGGATTGCGTCGGTTTGCCGCTGCTCCATCGCCACATTGAGGAGCAGCTTCATGACTATGGTGAACATGCGCCAAATGTCCTTCAGCTCCACACTCTCGAGATGCAGGGCGTCCATATCGATCTGCTTGGAAGACATCGCACCATTCGACTGGTCGCCACGGGGCCTGTCTCCTAGATGGCGGACCTTCGCGGCAAGGGCCGGTTTCTCGCCACTTGCGGCAGCTCCCGCGCTGGGAAGAGCACGCATCCAAGACATATGGCGAAGAACTGGAAAGTGCGCATCTGCTATGTGAGCCTAGAGCTCTGGCGATGGCGAGAAGGTGAGCTCGCAATCTTTGCGCGGGCAAAACAACTGCAGGGAATCGTTCGCTTCGAATTTGTAAACCCATCGTTTTTGGAGCATCGTCCAGCACGATAAGCAGCAGCAAAGTGGTTTGTCACTGTCTGTGGGCTCGCGAATGTCGATCGGCATTTCGGGCATTGGTTTGTTATCGTGGATCGTGTATGTTCGCATGCTCGTCCGTGCTCGCCTCCCTCTCCGGTCATGGTTTTGTGCACGCAAAGAGCCTGTTTTGTTTTTGCTGCAAAGGAGCGCAACGCAGCATGCTCACACAAGAGGCCACGCGGGTGGGGGTTGAGCAGACAAACGTCTGTCGCCAGCGTCCTGCGTGGTGGAACAGGCTGTTCCAGCCACCACTTGCGTACACGAGCGATAATGAGCTTGACAAACACATCGCGGCCAAGCAGCACTCCAAATCGTGACCCAGTCGTTCAGGGAAACCGCGGTTGGAAGCAGGGTGGCCTGAGGACGCCCCCAGAGGCCCCCAGGAAGCCCCCCCAAGGCACCGCGAGATCACCTTTCCCGATGGTCGCAACTGTTATATGATATTGGGCGAATGTGCGCGGAACTACGGCAACAACATCGTGTTGAGAAGGAGCCGCCTTCCATCCAGGCACCTATTGAAAGCCTTTAGAACGAATGTGCGCGGCGCCAAGGCGAGAGTCACATGTTGACCCCCCCATCCATCCGTGTAGTGGCTGCAGCATCAGGGTCAGAACAGATGAAGATGTCTGAAGTGAAACGCCTGGCCCGCTCTATCAACAACTCTGGGGGTGCGAAATGGAAGAGTTACCCATAAGGCAAAGGGGATGTAGGAGAAGGGAGAGGAAAATAACGAGGAGGAGGGAGGAGGGAGGAGGGAGGAGAAGAAAAATGAGAAGGAGAAGGAGAAGGAGGAGGAGGAGGAGGAAGGGCAGGAGGCAGGAGGAGGGAGGGGGGATGATGGGGGGCGCGTGAGGGAACGCGCGAAGGAGGAGGGGAGATGATAACGGGGAGGAGGATGCGCAAAAGGAGGAGGAGGAAGAGGAGGAGGAGCAGCAGGAGGAGGAGGAGGAGGAAGAGCAGTAGGAGGAGGAAGAGGAGTAGGAGTAGGAGGAGTAGGAGGAGGAGGAGGAGGAGGAAGAGGAGGAGGAGGAGGAGGAGGAGGAGGAGGAGGAAGAGGAGGAGAAGAATCGAGGATCGAACTTCGAGCACCACATTTTTTCTTGTGTGTTGGGGACCTCCAGGGGTGCTTGTCGCTGGCTGGATTCCGGCCGAAACGCACTCCTGGAGAGGTCCGACGGTGGACTTTAGAAAGGGGGAAGCAAGCGGGAGGATGGATGGATAGATGGATGGCGCCCTCATCGGCGCGGTGACTGAACGCATACCGGGAAGCCAGAGAAACTACGGCGTTCTGTCCTGGCCGCCCATGGCAAGGAGCAGCTGAAGGGAGAGGCCCCAAAGCAAGTGATGGTCCCGGGAACCCTGCAGCGAAAGTCCGAAGCCCGTGCACCAGCCCACCGCGTCCCATCTGTAGGAGGAGGAGGAGGAGGAGGAGGAGGAGGAGACCAGCGTAGGAGGGGAGTCCGTCCATCCCTACCTCTCGCGAGAGAGGGCGAGCTCGGCCGCGCCTGGCCTGGGTGGCGCCGATGGCGCCCATGAGGAGGAGGAGGAGGAGGAGGAGGAGGAGGAGGAGGAAGAGGAGGAGCGCCCGTACCACCGCATGGTGCACGAGCTCATCGGCGGCACGCCGGGCCGCTCAGAGTTGGTGTAGAACTTGGAGTACTGCTTGAGGGTGGCGGCCGCACGGCCACGCAAAGCGGAGGAACCCGCACACGGTGGGCAGCAGCGCGCGCCAGCGCCAGGGCCACCTCTGGGCCTGGCTGCAGCGGGCCAGGGCGGTGCCGCATCATGTTGTACGTGTTATACAAAGTCGCAATGCGGGCGATGGTCCTGGGGGCCGTTTTCGCCTTGCGGATCCGCTGTGTAGTCCTCCGCCGTGCCCGGGCCGAGTCGATGCAGAGGGCACTCGTGGGCGATGGTGCGCGAAGCGACGCACACACACACACACCACCAAGCACCACAGCACTGCAGGTAGTGCGAAATCTGGCCCGAGCCATCCTCGCAGCACCAGCGGCACGCCAGGCGGGGTTGGCCTACGTGCATCCTGTAAGACGTTGGCCAAGCGCCGGCAAGGGTGCGCTGGGTCGCCCAGCACGTGCCCGGGGCCGCAATCGCGAGCTGGGCTTTGAGGCGAAGCCACCTCTGGCGGAGGTCGGCAGGGACCGCCTGGTCTGGCCACCAAACCTGGAGGCGGCGGCGAATGGCGGCGTGGAAGGCTTCCTGGAAGAGCACCTGGGCGGCGGCTTCTGCGTGCGTTCGCTGCAGGCGGGGCTGGCGGCGACGGCCTGCAGCCGCGCCGAGCTCGCGCCGCGCCGCAGCGATGGCCGCGCACCGGGCTGCCCTCCGGCGCCGCTGCAGCCGCGCGCTGGGCGCAGTGATCCCGCCTGTGTCCGCCGACATGACATGCACTGCAGCATGGGCTCGGTCTGGGCCCTCAGCGGCGCCGCCCAGCGGCCGGAGACGACCGCGGAGGCCGGGAGGACGTCCCACGCACGCTCGAGCCACGCGTCCGCGAAGGCCCTCCATCCCGAGAGCGTTGCGTTGGCCGCGCGCCACGCGGCAGCCCAAGCAGTCGGCAGCAGCGCGGCAAGCGCGGGTCCAGGCGCCCAGGTGCGCATGCAGAGCAGGCCAGTCAATGCGAACGACTTCAGCGGGGCCTTCAAAATACGATGCAGAACGTCCAGCTCGCCTCTGATAAGGTCTTCCGGCATGGGGAGCAGCTGGTAGAGGTAGGTCAAGGCGGAGACAACTGAGCCGTAGTAGAGCGTGACCAGCTCGGCCGTCGGCACCGGCACCGTCTTGAGCACGGCCACGCGTCGCCTGTATTTGGTGGCTGCTGCGTGCCATGAGTCTATGAGGCTCGCCCCTGGCCCCCAGACGAAGCCAAGGTATTTGATTTGGAAGTGATGGTGAAGTCCGCCCAAGTCGGCGCGAGCGCCCTGCAGCGGCGGCCAGCCGTAGTGGTACCAGAACGCACTTCCGCGGCTGCAGGCACAGACACGCAAGGCGCCCCATGGCCTGGAAGTGCGGCTCGATGAAGGCGACGGGGGAGATGTCCCACAGCACGACCCCCATGTCATCAGCGCAGACGCCGAACTCCGCGTCACGGCCGGGCCCGATGACCATCGCCTCACGGGGCGGGCGGCCGGCAAGCGAGCGGGAGGGCAGGCCAAGGCGCCGGCGATGGCTTCCACGAATGGCGCCGTGGCGAGGGCCCACAAAGTTCCCGAAAGTGGGCATCCTTGGGCCACGCCCGTGAGCACCGCGCACACGTAGAAAGATCTCGATCTAGTGCGCGTCCAGCAATGCTGCCCTGCGCGCAGCGCTCGGACGAGCTTGAGGTAGGTATCGGGGATGCCAAACTGGGAGTGCCGCGAAGAGCCACGCCCAAGCAAGGCTGGGGAACGCCGCGGCCACGTCGAAAGAGACCAGGCACGGCCGTCGCCGAGCGAGCGCCTCGGCGGAGTCGAGCGTGGCAGCCCGCGCCTGCGCATCCAACCTCCGCACGTTCTCCAGGATGTTCCGACCCCTGACGAAGCCGCGCTGCGGGCTCGACACGCGCCGCTCCGCGACCGCCGAGAGGTAGTGGTTGGCCGACGCTGCCATCAGCTTTGCGTCGGAGTTTTTGAGGGCGAGCCGGCGGGTCTTGCCGGGCTCCCGCGCCACCTGCGCGGCCGAGGGTGCGTCGGCAGCTTTGTGGGCAAATTGGAGCCACGAGTTGTTGAGCCCCTCTGGAGGGCACGCCCCGCTCACGAGGGCAAGCATGGCGGCGTGCAGGTGCTGGAGGGCGCCAGGTGCCCGCATCCACGCTGAGTAGGGGATGCCGTCAGGGCCCGGCGCTGGGGGCCGAGCGCGGCGGGCGGCCCTTTCCATGTCTTCGATATCTGGCAGCGGCAACTCAATGTCTGGCAACCTGGGGAAGTGGCAGTGCATGTAGTTGTGGACGTCGCTTATGGGGGCCTCCTGGGCTGCGAAGATCGGCCCCCAGTGGGCGCGCAGCGCAGCAGCCATGCCGGGGGGTCGGCCGTCATCCTAGGGCCCGCGGCTGGCGGGGGGGCGGCGGTTCCGAGGAGCGAAGGCGCGGCTGGGCAGCTCTCGGGCTGGATGATGCCGGCCAAGATCTGGACGCTCTGTAAGGGGCGCCATAGTTGGGCCCCATGGGTAGCCCTCGCCGCCCGACCCTTCAAGAAGGCCCCGCATCGACGCTGGGCCGCGGAAGCATTGACCAGCGCGGCCTGGCGGTCCCACGCGAGCACTGCAGAGGCCGCCACGCGAACCGCAGCCGCGAAACCCCCGGAGTCCGAGAGGATGCAGCCAGCTGCGGAAGTCGCGAAGTAGGCCGCAAGCATCGGAGCGGAGTGCACCAACATGCTGAGGGTGCGTCCATCCTCGCGCCAGTGCGCACGGGCAGCTGATCGTAGGACGAGCAAGTGCGCGTCAGGATAAGATGCTCAAGTGCTGAAGTACCGCTCTCGGGTCAGCACGTCGCGCGTGATGCGCGCGGCTATGGCGATGTTGGCTTTGGTGATCTTCCAGGCCTCCATCGGATCAGTGGGCATCGCGGTGACCGCCATGACCTTCGCGAACGTAGTGGCGTAGAGGGGCTCCTTGCATATCCAGTCAGGGATGGGGGCAGTTCCGTCGGCCAGGGGCCGTGGCGTTGCTCAGCACCAGAACGAGGATGCCATGGTCGCTCAGCGTTCTGTCCGCAAGCGTGGCCAGGTCGGTCGCGAGGTAGGCGCGCATGGAGATGCCGTAGACGGCTTCGGGCGGCACCGAGACGTAGAGCCTGTCCAACGTTGACGATTTGAGACGGTGTACGTCGTCGTAACGCGCGGGGAGGTCAGTCTTGATCTGCATCAAACAACCAAGCAACTGCTGCCAGTGCCGCGGAACGGCTTGATCAGTGCGAGCGCCATGCCGCTGAGTCCGCCCTGGATCCTCACGCGATAAATGAGCGCCGTCGTCGAAATTCAGATCACCACCGACCACCACCAGCCGTTTCTGCGGCGCTTCGGAAGCCCAGCGGCGACATCCTTTCACTTCTGTGGCCAAGTGGCTCCGGTCACTGTGCGTCAGTCCGTAGCTGTGGATGTTCAGCAGCGCGAGAGCAGTGGAGCTGCCTGAGTGGCAGCCGCGCGGCCGCAGGAGCGCATCGACCGCGCGGCCAGGACAGCACCAGGGCCGGTGACCTTCAGGTGTGCCCAGGCCGCCCCTGGAGGTCACCGATGGAGAAGACGAGGAAGATGCGCACGAGGAGGAAGTGGTCGACGCGCCCGTCGAAATCGAAGAGCTCGTACTGGTAGAACGTGGACTGGCGGCACCATTGCCGGGTGGGCGCCGGCGTGTCGCACCAGAGGCCGGCGCGTCGCACAACCCATCAAGGCACTCATTGTCCCATCCATCTGCGCACTCGGAGCGCGCAGGTGACGAGCAGCGTGAACAAACTGGGGAATCTGGAAGGACGTCCAGCGGCGCGGGCGCAGGCATATGCCCGCCAAGCTGCATTGCTGCGGAATCGTAAGCCAGCGAAATAGAGGCCGACGACGAGGTTATGTAGGGTGAAGGCCCCAGTTGGTCCTCTGAGTCCGTGGCTGGGTGTTTCACGATATGTAGGGTGGCGACGCGACCAGGAACAATCACGTCCATCCACATGTGGTCTTCGACAGGGCCCTCGAAAGTACCCAGCGGGATCAAGAAAGCTAAACCTCCAGCACAAGCGCTGTTGGCGCAGCCCGTGTAAAAGAATGTGCATCGATACGGTAAGCCCGAGAGCCATGCCCTGATCTGCTCCGCATCGCCGTGGGCCTCCTGGACCATGATAATATATGATAATCGCGCCTTTCTGCAGGAACTTCCGCAGTGTGGCTTGCTTGCGCCTCCGTTTACCACGGGAGGAGCAAAATAAACTGCGTGCGTTCCAAGTCACCACAGTCAGCGGGCTGCGTGCGTCCGCCCAGGGGGCCCAGCATCGGCTAGGACCACGACACATCGGCGCCCTGGTCCCGGAAGAGATCGTGGAACGCCTGGTCGATGAAGGCACAATCGATGCCGAGCCGTTGTGCCTCGGGCCGGTTCCATTCGATGTTGGAGACCTCGTCGGGGACGTTCGGGACGATGACCCTGGCGATTGGGATGCGGTCGACCTTGACCTCGCCTCTGCCCCGGTTGGGTCGGAAGTCGATCTGCTTGTAGTGTCGTTCCAGGGTCTGGGCCAGCCTCTTGGTCTGGAACTCCATCCTTTGCGTGCGTGGAGACCGGTCAGGGTTGACGTACAGTGGCACTGCTGGTCCAGCCACGGTCGGGGCGCTGAACTGCCGCCATCGCCCGTCTGGGAACTTGAAGACCTTGGCCAAGGCGATGGCGCGTGCGTTGCCGACGACGCCGCCATGAACTTCGACGTGGAAGCGCCGGCCAGGACCATTGCAATGGAGGGTGATGTGCTCGGGGCCCAGTCCTCTGGCCTGCAGCCAGGGGCCGAGGGCTTGCTGCGCCGCATCTGGGGCTGTGTCGTTCTTGGCGTTGAGCGTGAAGAAATTCGGCTCCGGGGAGCGGTCCCAGACAGATAGGCGGACGATGTCCGTGATGCCCGCCGCGCTCCGCGATCTTGAGAGTCTCATCGATCTCGCGGACCTTCGGTCCATCTTGGTGGTGTGATCAGCGACGAGGCTGGTGATCTTGTTCTGGAAGTCTGTGGTGACGGCCCGGCATGTCGACTCGAGTTGGGTAGCGGTGCTCCCCAAAATATCCGCGAGAGCGTTGCGCATGTCTTCTGGGCAGAAGGTCGGCAGTCGGTCGACTGCCTCCTTGAACTGGTCACTGAGGGAGGGCCCAGGTGGCTGACTGGCTGTAGCAGGACGAGCTCCAGCAGCACCAGCAGCAGCAGCAAGATGGCCAACAGTACCTGCCGAGCCAACGGCCTCAGCAGCCGCGGGCGGGCGGGTGCGTGGGCTTTTTGGGGGGCCCTTGCGCACCTTGGGTCCCGCCTGGCTCATCCTCGGGCCTGCGCCGCTGGGCACGCGCTGGGAGCGGCGGACAGGCCGCGCGGGGAGGGCCGGCGGCTGCGATACTGAGGCTGGGGCCGCAGCTGCTGCCGGCGCCATGGCGTAGGCACCCCACGGATCAGCAGGTCCTTGAAGTGGATCGTGTTCAGCGGGAGCGCCAGCGGCGGCTGCGTCGGCAGCCGGACTTATGCGCGGGCGGCCGCGCGCCCGAGTGAACGGAGGTTGGGAGGCGTGTCCCAGACGTGGGCCGCACGCGGCCGAGCTTTTGAGCAAATGAGTGCGGATGCTCGCACCCCACGAGATCCCCGAGGGGGGACGTGGGGCTTGAGCCAAAATTGCTACGGAGGAGGAGGAGGAGGAGGAAAAGAGGACGCCTGCGAGCGGTGCTTGATGCCCGCGAGGTCCGCGCCGAAGAAGGCGGCCATCTTGACCACATCCGCCGTCTTCTTGCACGGCAAGGTTCCCGAGAGCCCCCAGCGGTACTTCGAGCTAAGGCTCTGGACGATGACCTCTGGAGGGGCCGCCAGCCATGGCTTCGCCATCCTGGCGGCCTCTGGGCGCACTGCCCCCCGCCCTCCTCCCCTGGAAGTCCTCCTGGGGCCCTCTTGGGCCCCCTCGGGCCTCTTGAGCTGAAGCTCTGAGCGATGACGTCTCGGGATGGTGAGGAGGGCAACGAGAGCAGCATCAGTAGAGACAGGAGGAGGGAAAGGTGGAGGGGGAGGAGGGGACAGAGAGGGCGGAGAAGGAGGAGGAGGAGGAGGAGGAGCACACGTAGCTTGAATCCGTGGTGATCCAGCTACTGCCAGCACTCTAGCACCGCATCGCGGCGAGAGCAGCGGCTCGGATTTCATAGTGGTATTGGGCCGAGGCGGCACGGTGCCGCACGGCCAGATCAGCTTTCAGTTTTTGATGGATATGAAAAGCTGGACACGACGATCCTATGGCAGCGAGCACGTGGGTATTCGGGTGCTGGGTCTGGCACGGATCCCAACCCCAGACGGGTGAGGGGGAAAGAGGGCAGCCAAACAGGCATTCGCACGGAGTGGCGGCAGGGATTCTGGCGGATGTTGTCCACCCGCCAGCCAGCGTCGACATGGGCCCACGCCCTTGCAGGAGAAGAGAGGGTGAGCACTGCCTTGAGGGCTTCCCATCTTCGAGAGAGAGAGCTCAATTCGAGGCGCCAAGGGGAAGTAGGGAACCAGGAGGGCATACGACGAGCGAGGGGAGAGGGGAACGGGCCAGGGAAAAGAGCAGAAGAGAGAATGGTGGAAACAGACTCTCTGAGGGCGCGGGCGACGCTCTTCCTCGCGGGCTGCTGCCAGTTCACACGCCGCAGCGGACCTGGCCGCCTGCCAGGACGCTCGGGGCACTGCGCTGGGTGCAGACGCTGGGTCCAGCACTCGCTCAAAGAATTCGGCAATTGATTCTCGTCCGGCCCAGAAGCTAGGTGCACGCGCTCCGCGCGCAAGGTCAAGAAACGGCCCGTACATTTCAGCGTGCACTTTGAGAGCGTTGATGGAGATCACCCCAGCCTATCCGTCCCGCCCGAGGGAGAGCATGGGATGCCGAGCGCCAGCGCCTAGCGAGGGACGGGAGCCATGGAAAGAGTGCCGAAAGAGCGCCGGAGCGGTCCGCTCCGAGCGCCACGTCCTCCGAGGAAGGAGAGGGGAGGGGGAACATCTGACAGATCTAGCTCAGCGAAGATATGACCCCGAAATTGTGGATGCGACAAATGGTGTCAGCGGGCGAGCGGCTGTGGGCAATCTCTGCGGTGCGGACCTTCCATTTTCCACCTGGAGCAGCCCATTGGTTTTGGAGATCGGCCTCAGGTCCAAACTCAACACCAAGATCCGTCGCGGCAGGTTTGAGGTGGAAGCTGGACCACTGCAGTACACTCTGCGGCATCTGGGACGCGATACTTTGCATCGCGTCGGGCGTGCTAGGGGCGCCGAGACGAACGACGCAGCACTTGTCAGGCTGCAGCGCAAGATTAGCAATCGTGTGGGCGGCAGCGAATGGTGGGCGCAGGAGAGGGAGGAGCCGAATCGAGGGGAGATTGGAGCCCACATCGTCTGCCGTCGCGCCACGCTCGGGTTCCAGCTTCGGGCGCCATCGCTCAGGACCAGGACGCAGAGCGAGGGCCTCGGGAGAGCTCAACTCTGCATCCAAGTGGCGCAGAAAAGGGCATACAGAGGGCCCATGTGGTGCCCGAGAGAGGGCGCCCCTGAGCGACCCCAGCGGAGACCGTGAAGAGAGGCTTGCGGGCGGCTCCACATCGGGAGTGAGCGAGGGCTCCAGAATGCAGCGCTGAGATCAGATTCTTGAAGCCCGTCGGGATGCAGTGTCGCTCGAGCACTCTGTGGAGGAAGGGTTGGGACAGGGAGGGGAAGGCAGCGCGCAGGTCGAAGGGGGCGAAGAGAGGGGAGAACTCAGGGTGAAATGCATTTCGTAGAGTCTCAAACAATGGCACCTCCATCGTCGGCTACTGGAAGACGGGCGCGCGGCTGTCCAAGTACTGTAGCGGTCCACCGCGTTGAGGTCGGCGGGCTTGTCCGTGAAGATAGGCTGCCAGCACTTGCGGAGCCCGTGCAACATGATTTTGGGCCCCCGCTCGACGGGGGACTGGCGCCCCCGAGAGCACCGGGCGGCGTAGGCGGGGGGCCCGCAGCAGGGCCCGCCTCTGGCCCGCCCTCTGGAGCTTCAGCGGGCCCCCGTCTCTGAGTAAACACAGGACTCCTCTCGAAGACGCGCCGCAGCCGCAGCTCGTAGTCGTTCGTGCCATGCTGAGTGATGTAGACTGCAATCCCTTTCGACGCTGTCAGGGTCCGCAATCGAGAGAGCCGTTCTCGTCAACGCGCAGGTGTAACGCCCCTGGCGCAGCGGTGTCCTGTAGGCGATGGCCGAGGCGGACGTCCTGGCGCCAGACAGCTGTGACGATGGCCCGCATGGTGATGCGCCTGCCGTCCTCGCCCACCTCGGCGAAGTCGCCAATCTGGAGGCCCATCGTCCCGTCTCGGGCGAAGCGCGCTGATTCCGTCGTGGTCCCCTTGACCAGCGTCCAGCGGGGCACTTCAGAGACGCTCGCGAGGTTGCTGATGTCCAGCAGGGCCTTCACGTGACTGACGAAGCGCTGCGAGCCGAAGACACGTGGAGGGATCGCCTGGCAAGCAGTCCCCACTGGAGAGCGAGCCTTCAGCTTCAGCACGATGATGGCATGATCACTCAGGCCCCAGTCCGCCAGGGAGGGAGTTTCCTGCCATGCCTCGAAGGTGATCGCCGTGTTCAGCACGTTGTGGGACCTCATCGACACGAAAGCGCGGTCGATGAAGGAGCTCGACTGGCGGCGCTTAGAATAATCAGTCGGTAGCTCGCCGACCACTTCAACAAGCGAGGACTGGAAGAGCGAGCGCCAGAAGCCTTGGGACTGGTTGCCACGGTGCCAGACAGGACGGCTGTTAAACCGCTGCTTGTCGCGCGCGACGGCCGCGGCGTTCGTGGCCAGAGGCGGGAGAGGTAGATGAGGTGTCCAGACCCGCGGGCACTGTCGCATTGTTGTGAAAGGTACCTGAAAGTGAAGAGGGCGAGGGACGCTCCAAGCATAGAGGTTCGGTGTCAGCAATACTGAATTCTTCAATGGCGACGAAGATCCGATGCCGTTCGTCTTCCTGCGCCCACGCAGCACCTTCGCGCCACCGACGATGCATGAACGGGAGACAGGAGACGGGCAGCTCGTGGATGTGGATGCTCATGGTGCGGATGTGCTCGTTGTTGTTCTTATTCGAGATGGCGAGCTAGGCCACCCGGCCTTCGGCAAGGATCTCGAAGGCGAAGGGCGGCAACGTGCTCGGATCAATGGCGTTGAGCTGGGCCTCCGAGTACCATGAGATCAGGAAAGCCAACCCTCCAGTGCCAGGAGTACTCCCAGGGGCAAGGAAGATGCGATAGTTACTAGGGAGTTGGTTCACTAGCGCACGTAGTTTGGCTTCCTGCCCGTGGCCCTCTTGCATGACGATGAGGAGTCACCGCTGCATCAGTTTGCAGCAGAGGTGGCGTCGCGGAAGCGGTCGATGACGTCCTGGCGGTCGCTTTCGTTGATGAAGCGCTGGGCATCAGGATGCCAGTAGATTTTGAAGGGCTCCAGGTAGCCCTGCGGGGCGACTTCGACGATGGGGACAGCGTTGCAGCTGATGATGCCTTTGGGGCGGATGGCAGTCCAGTCGCGGCCAGCAGCGTAAGACTGCGAGAGCAATGTGAGGAGGTGCCTGGTGCGCATTTCTCGGCGAATCTGGCGGGGAGCCTTGTCAGCCCCAACATACAGTGTGACCCGTCGTCCGTCTGGTCGGGCGCCTTAACCATGAATGAGCGCCATGCGCCACCAGGGAGACGGAGGGCGCGAGCGAGGGCCATGGCACGGGTGGCCGCCACGCCAGTCTTGCCCATGACGCGGATGAGGAAGCGCTCGGTGGGGACCTCGGCGCCCACCACCCCGATGTGATTTGGCTGGACTCGAGAAGCGCCGATCCAGTCGCTGATGGCTGCGCGAACGGCCGAGCGAGGGACCAAGTGCTTGCTTGCAGTTGGCAGTGAACATGAGGGGGTCGGCCTCGCGATCGTGCCCGGCAAGCTTCGCGAGGTCCGCAGAGGAGAGCTGGCGCTCCCCCTAGGCTAGGGAAGGGCGAATGTCTGCCGCCTGCTCGCGAAGCTTGGCGTTCTCCTGCTCGATGTCGGTCTGGCGCTGCTTGCGCTGGTGGATGTCGCTTGAGTGTGTGACGGTGCTCTGGACGATCGGTCCATGTTTTTGCCCATCTCGGCGACCATAGCTGACTGCGTGGCGGCCATTGTGTTTCTACATAGCTTGTCCATGTCCGCGACCTTGGATGCTATTCGGGCCGTGACGAGGCCCATGAGCTGCTGCTGGAAGTCCGCGGCGGAGGAGACGTTGAGGCTTGGAGCTGGATCAGGAGCGACAGCAGAAGCAGGGGCGGGTGGAGTGTCTGTCCCCTCGAGCTGGCTGGCGAAGGTGGGGAGGGCCTCCAAGTCCTTGATGTCCTGCGTGATGAGAAGCCTGGTGCCAGCGCCCGCCCGGGGATCGTGAAGCTGAGGGGCATCACTTGAGGCGGCGCTGGTCTGAGCAGGCACTCCGCTTGGGCCACCAGAGCGAGCGGCCCACTTTGGGGGAGCTACCAAAGCCTCGGAAGCAGGACAATGGCGCTTAATTCGTCGATCTCTCTGCAGCTCGTCTCGGGGGGAGGCGGAGTGGGGGCTGGCAGGCGCGGCTGGAGCAGGGGCAGGAAGGAGGAAGAGGAGGATGGGGACATCTGGAGGGTCGCCGATTACAAATTTGTCGGCTCGTCGGGGGCAGTTCTGGAAGCAAATCGCAGGCTTCCAGAACATGTGCAAATGTCCCTGGGAGGTCCCAGGACCTCTGGGCGTCGCCGGAAACGGAAAAACAATTGACAATTACAGGTGTCTCGCCGAAATTTCGACGTCTGGGGCGCAGCTGTCTGGCACCGCGAAGTCCACAAGACGGGTTACTGTTGACTTCCGCTGGCCTCCGCCGGCGGAGCACCCCTCGTTTCGCTTCCGCCGGCGTTTTGCCTGCCTTCCGCCGCCTCCCGCCAAGGAAGAGATGACCCAACTCCGCCCAAGACGAGGCCCACCCTGCCTGGGCCGGCGGGTGCCGCGTGAGCAGCTCGTGGAACTCGTCGAGCACCAGCCGCTTCCAGTGGAAGCAGCTCAGCAGTGGCGGGCCCTGCGCGCCCTGCGCGCGCTTCGGGCCGCAAGCCTTCCCCGCCTTGCCCGTGGCGGCCCGCGCAGGGCGCGCGGCCGCGTCCCGCCCAGCGCTCGCCGCGATGACGCCGCCGAGCGCGCGCTCTGGCGCCTCCCCAGGCATCCCTCGATATGATCTGCGTTCAATCGCGGCGCGTTTCCTCCCTTTCGGCCTCCCGAGGCCGCTCTCGGGCCCCAGGACCATCAAAAGTGGATCCGGGACGCAAGACTACCCCCAGGGAAGGGGTGGGGATCTGGGGCTGCGGACTGAAACATCCTATCGGGGGATGACTTCGTCTGGGAAGGAGAAGAACCGAGGGCCCACGGGCGACACGGGCCTGGCTTGGGGGGGGGGGCTGAAACAACTAACTACCATACAATATGAAGCTTGTGGAGATCCGCGCTAATTTCTTGGATCGGCGCTGGGGCCCCCTGGCAGCGCCTCCAGCGCCGCCTCTGGCGCGCTTCGCGCGCCGGGGAGGGGGTCCAACGCCGGTCCGAGAAATCCGCGCGGACCTCCCAAGATTCATGTCCATGCCGATATATAAACTAGAACCACGTGCGCGCTTCGCGCGCGCTTAGGTTCTGTCGAGTCACAGACCCAGGAATCGTTGCGAGAAGAAATTGGTGACGCGAAGCGTCTTGGGGGCGTCCTTGGACGTCTGGGGTCTCCTGGGGCCTCTTGAGGGGCCTCCTGGGGGCCTCCTGGCGGCCTCTTGGGGCGGAAGGCTCGAGCTTGCGGTTCGTGGTCCCCCTCTGGGCCCCCTCTTGGGCCCGTCTTGGGGCCCTCTTGGGCCATCTTGGGCGCCTCTTGGGCCGTCTTGGGGCCCTCTTGGGCTGTCCTGGGGCCCTCTTGGAAGCTTCTTGGGCCGTCTTGGGGCGGTCTTGGGCGCCTCTTGGGCCGTCCTGTAACGTCGGAAAGCCCAAAAGGCGACTTTGTTAAAAATGTACGTTTTACGAAGGGAATGGGCCAATTTTTGCGTCTAGGGGCCCTCTTGGGACGCATGTTGGAGGCTTCTTGGGGCCTCTTGGGGGCGTCCTTGGACGTCTGGAGGCCATCTTCAGCATCTCGGAGCCCTCTTGGAGGCCTCTTGGAAGTTTCTTGGGCCGTCTTGGGCGCTTCTTGGGCCGTCTTGTCTGACTGGGGAGGCCTCCGGCAAGCCCCGACGAGCCTCCGGGCCCCCCGGGGTGCACATTTGTGGTCGAGGTCCCGGCCCCGGGCCCCCGGACCCGGTGCGCCGATATATGTATACTAGAACCACGCGCGCGCTTCGCGCGCGCTTAGGTTCTAGCTAGGAGGCGAGCTTGAGTCAACGAAAGTCGCAGGGAAGGGGGCAGGGGGAAGAAGGCCAGAGAGCGCTGAAGGATACAAATATTGGAACCCTCTTGTGATTTTGTGGGGGGCCTCGTCCTGGCCGCTCGCTGGGAGTTTGACGTAGCTTCTCGGGAGCCTCTGAACCTGTCGGGGGCCTCCTGGAAGCAGGTTCGAAGCATTTTGGGGGCCGATTTGGGTCTTCTCGGGGCCTCCTTCGGGCCTCTTGGGGGTCTCCTGGGGCCTCTTGAGGGGCCTCCTTGGGGCCTCCTGGCGGCCTCTTGGGGCGGAAGGCTCGAGCTTGCGGTTCGTGGTCCCCCTCTGGGCCCCCTCTTGGGCCCGTCTTGGGGCCCTCTTGGGCCATCTTGGGCGCCTCTTGGGCCGTCTTGGGGCCCTCTTGGGCTGTCCTGGGGCCCTCTGGGAAACTTTTTGGGCCGTCTTGGGGCGGTATTGGGCGCCTCTTGGGCCGTCTTGGACGCGGTGAAAGCCCAAGAGGCGAACATGCGAAAAATATACGTTTTCTCATAGGAATGCACGATTTGTGCTTCTTGGGCCTCTCTTGGGCTGCCTCTTGGGCCCGTCTCGGGGCCCTCTTGGGGCATCTTGGGCACCTCTTGGGCCGTCTTGGGGCCCTCTTGGGCTGTCCTGGGGCCCTCTTGGAAGCTTCTTGGGCCGTCTTGGGGCGGTCTTGGGCGCCTCTTGGACCGTCCTGTAACGTCGGAAAACCCAAAAGACAACTTTGTTGAAAATGTACGTTTTACGAAGGGAATGGGCCAATTTTTGCGTCTAGGGGCCCTCTTGGGACGCATGTTGGAGGCTTCTTGGGGCCTCTTGGGGGCGTCCTTGGACGTCTGGGGTCTCCTGGGGCCTCTTGAGGGGCCTCCTGGGGGCCTCCTGGCGGCCTCTTGGGGCGGAAGGCTCGAGCTTGCGGTTCGTGGTCCCCCTCTGGGCCCCCTCTTGGGCCCGTCTTGGGGCCCTCTTGGGCCATCTTGGGCGCCTCTTGGGCCGTCTTGGGGCCCTCTTGGGCTGTCCTGGGGCCCTCTGGGAAGCTTCTTGGGCCGTCTTGGGGCGGTCTTGGGCGCCTCTTGGGCCGTCCTGTAACGTCGGAAAGCCCAAAAGGCGACTTTGTTAAAAATGTACGTTTTACGAAGGGAATGGGCCAATTCTTGCGTCTAGGGGCCCTCTTGGGACGCATGTTGGAGGCTTCTTGGAGCCTCTTGGGGGCGTCCTTGGACGTCTGGGGTCTCCTGGGGCCTCTTGAGGGGCCTCCTGGGGGCCTCCTGGCGGCCTCTTGGGGCGGAAGGCTCGAGCTTGCGGTTCGTGGTCCCCCTCTGGGCCCCCTCTTGGGCCCGTCTTGGGGCCCTCTTGGGCCATCTTGGGCGCCTCTTGGGCCGTCTTGGGGCCCTCTTGGGCTGTCCTGGGGCCCTCTTGGAAGCTTCTTGGGCCGTCTTGGGGCGGTCTTGGGCGCCTCTTGGGCCGTCCTGTAACGTCGGAAAGCCCAAAAGACAACTTTGTTGAAAATGTACGTTTTACGAAGGGAATGGGCCAATTTTTGCGTCTAGGGGCCCTCTTGGGACGCATGTTGGAGGCTTCTTGGGGCCTCTTGGGGGCGTCCTTGGACGTCTGGAGGCCATCTTCAGCATCTCGGAGCCCTCTTGGAGGCCTCTTGGAAGTTTCTTGGGCCGTCTTGGGCGCTTCTTGGGCCGTCTTGTCTGACTGGGGAGGCCTCCGGCAAGCCCCGACGAGCCTCCGGGCCCCCCGGGGTGCACATTTGTGGTCGAGGTCCCGGCCCCGGGCCCCCGGACCCGGTGCGCCGATATATGTATATTGTTCTTCGACCGAGGGCAGGAGCCCGGGCCAGGACTGGGTGGCCCTGTCCGTTTGGGGCCTGGTCGGGGTCCCCTGTTCAACCAGCCAGCTTCGCGCCGCACGAAGCGCAGTGCTCTTCGCGCCATCGCGCCGCCCCCCTGAAGAACGACCATCAAGCCCAGACCGTGAGGCGCGAGGCGCGAGGCGCGGGTATATCTCCGCGCCCCTTGTGGGTGCGCCGCCCGCAGGCCCAGCTCAAATCTGGGGCCCCCGCGCGAATGGTGCGGCTGGGGGTCTGGGGGCGCCGACGCGCCTCACGGAAATCGTGCGGGAAGCTCCGCGGAGGGATGCAGAAGCTTCCCGCCCCCTGCCCCCGAGGCCTCGTGGGCGCCGAGGGCGCGCTGGCGCGGGGCCGCCTCGCGGGGGCCCTTCCCGCGCATCCGCTTGCCGGGCCGCCCGCCGCCCACAACGGCGGCGTCGGGCACCCGCTCGGGCGCCCCGTGCGCGCTGGGGGCGCGCTGGCGCGAGGCCGCGTCCGCGGGGCCCTTCGCGCGCATCCGCTTGCTGGGCTGCCCGCCTGCCCCCGCACGCCACGACGCTCCGCCCGCGCCCAGGACGGGGGCGCCGGCGCCCTCGAGCCTGGACATGACCTGGGCGTACTGCCGCGAGAAGGTGCGCAGCGAGTGCCTCCGGCGCGCGTCGGGGCCGCCCATGCGGAGCTGCTCCCGCGGCGGCCAGCGCAGGGCCGCGGGCACCGGGCCGTCTGGGCCGCCGCGGCTCGCGGCCGCGCCCCGCCGCCTCTGCGCCGCGGCGGCCCGCGCCCTGCCGCGCCCGCCGCCGGACTGGAGGCAGGCCACCTGGCAGAGGGGAGCAAACAGCGGCGTAAGCTCCTCAGCGCTCAAAGGTCCGCGGGGAGTTCTTGGACCAGCGCCAGAGCCCCCTCCCTGGCGCGCGGGGCGCGTCAGGGGCGGCGCGGGGGGGGTCCAGCGCAGATCCGAAAAATCCGGGCGGTCCTCCGACAGTCTATGCTTATGCTGATTGTGCGTCTTCACCGCCTGGCGCAAGCGCTCCAGGTAGGGTGCCGAGTAGAAGAGCCTATAGGTGGTCACAACGACGTCGGCGTCGGCCAGCTCCTGAGCGGAGACGCGCTTCAGCTGGGCGTACGTCTGGAGAGGGATGACCCTGAGGCCCCCGGCCACGAACTTCTGCACCTCGCGCACCCACTGCGTGATGAGGTTGACGGGGCAAAGGACCAGGGTGGCCCTGCTGGGCGTCAGCGCCCCGCCCCAGCCGCTCGGCGGGCGCGGGGCGCCCTCCGCCCGGGTGCACTCCACGAGGCCGATCGTCGTCGCGGTCTTGCCGTACCCGACCTTGTCCGCCAGGATGCCGCCGCGCATCCGCACCGCGCTCCGTAGGCGGCCGCGGATCCTCCAGTCCTGCAGGTGCGCGGCCTCGTCCACGGCCTCGCGGTCGAAAACGAAGGCGTCCTCCGACCGCTCCGCGGCGCACATCCAGCGCAGCGTGCGCAGCTGCTCGGACCGCAGGGGGAAGCTCTGGAAGCGCGGGGGCTGCTCGTGCTCGGGGTCTTCGTGATTGCTCAGCAGCGTGAAGGGCGGGTCGAGCGCGTCGGCCGCGGCAGCTGCCGCGGCCGCCGCCCCCTGGGGAGCGGCGCCGCCGTGCTCCGCCGAGCCGGCGACCTCGGCCGCGCTGCCCTCGGCGCGCGCGCCGGGAGGGACCGCGCTGCGGGCGACGGCCGCGCCCGCCACGGGGACCCGCCGCCTGTCCTCGAGCCGCCACTCGAAGCACATCTCCAGCGCGCTGGGGTCCCGCCGCCCCTGGCCCGCGAGCCGCGCGGAGGCGAGCAGCGCCAGCAGGAGCAGCCCGGGCTTCACGCAGGTCCGCAGCTCGAGCAGCCCGCCCGAGGAGCGGCGAACCTCGTGCTGGATCGCCTTTCGGGAGAGGCGAAGTCCGGTTGGAGCCCCAGCAGATCGAGCGCACTGGCTCGAACTGGACTTGGCGCCGCCCCAGAGGTCATGTCCAGTTGGAGGCCCACCAGATGGAGCCTCTCGGCTCCAGCTGGACATGCTCCAACAGGACTTGGCGTCGCCCGAGCCTTCGGAAGCGCGTCCAGGTTGAGGCCCGACGCGCTGAGCAGGTCGCCGTCCTCCGCGTGCTCTCGCGCCAGCTCCACCAGCTCGTTCACCAGCGGCCAGAGGTCCTGGCCCCCGAACGCGCACCAGCCCGACGCGGCTGGGGGCACATCCTGCACCCGCTGGCAGTGCTCGGGACCCGGCAGCGCCGTGAAGCGGACGTGCTGCGAGGACATGGAAGCTTGCTTCGGCCACTGGAACGCCTCTGGAGGAACAGAAACAAATGGCATAATCATAGACTGTCGGAGGTCCGCGCGGATTTCTTGGATCAGAGCTGGATCCCCCCCCCTGGCGCACGAAGCGCGCCAGGGGCGGCACTGGCGGTGCCGCCCGCCAGGGGGTTCAAGCGCCATTCTGAGAAATCCACACGGACTTCCAGATGATACTAGACTTGTGCAGATGATTATTAATTATTACATTTCTTCTTCATATTATCACTTTCTGATTATCATTATTATCCCTCTTCTTCTGCTTCTTCTCCTTCTCATGAGTCCACTTTCTCCTCCTCTTCCGGCCTCCTCCAGCTCCAGGTACAGCACGCGGAGCGTTGAGGCGGCCCTGCACATCCCGTGCAGCCCGGTGAGCCTCACCCAGCGCCCCGCTGGCAGCGCGGCGCGCACGTCTGACGGGGTGGCCGTCCCCGGCCGCCTGCGGCCGCCGTCCCCGCGCCTCCCCCCGAGGCTCAGGCGCAAGGACGTCTGCATCACCTGGCAGCGGACCTCCCACCACGGCGCGGCGTCCTCGCGGCCGCGGGCCGGCTCCCACGCGGGGGCGCGACGGGGCACAACCACCTCGCGCGGCTCGTCGTCGTCGCGGGAGAAGGCGGCCGCGAGCGCGGCACTGCGCAGGGGCACCCACGCCGGCACCGCCGCGTCGAAGGTGCCCGCGAGGTCACCGTCGCCGGGCACGTCCATCCACGCGAGTGGGCGGTCCAGCGCCTTCGGGTGTTGCCAGATCGTGGCCCTAGCGCGGGGAGGTGGCCCCGGGGACCCCACCAAAGGCCTCAAACTTGTGCGAAAAGCTGGCAGCACCCGGCGCCTGGCGCACCTCCAACCTCATGCCACTTCTGGAGCCCATGGGGCTCTGAGGGGAAGCCGACTGCGCCCTCCCTGGGAGAGCAAGGCCCGAGGGCCAGGACCACCTCAGGCAACACCCGACGCCGCTGCTCCCCGTCCCCCTGGGCCCCCGCCCTTCCCCCCCCCAAACCAGCTCGCCTCCACCACCCACACACACACAAATCCTTGCCCCTGGGCACATCTGATTGGCATCGCCTCGTCTCGCCCCAAGAGACACGCGTGTTTACGGAAGCCGCACTCGACCTCCAAAACTTCGTTCGAGGACGTCCAATGATCACGAGTGGCCAACGCGCCGCCTGGCGGACAGCAGAGACGCCAGAAGGGTGATTATAGTGTACGTAGCACCCCGCAATTGCGGATAAGAGTGAGGGGGCGGGCGCGGGCGACGCGGGCGTCGTCGAGCTGGCGGACCTCGTGGCCCCTACCTTCCCTGTCGATGGCGCTCTCCTCCTCCTCCTCGTCCTCGTCCTCGTCCTCATCGTCATCGTCATCCTCCTTTTCCACCTCGTCGTCCTCCTCCTCCTCTTCTTCCTCGTCCTCCCTCTCCCCCCCTCGTCCTTCCATCATCGTCATCCCATTGTCGTCCTTCCCCTCGTCGGCCTCCATCATCGTCCTCCCATTGTCGTCCATCATCGTCTTCGTCCCCCTCCTCCCCCTCCTCCCCCTCCTCGTCCTCCTCCTCCCCCTCCTCCCTCTCCTCGTCATCCTGCTCCTTCTCCTCGTCTTTTTCCACATTCTCCTTACATCCTCTCTTCTTCCGCGTCCTCCTCGTCCCCTGTTTTTTCCTCGTGCCTCCCCCTCCTTCCCCAAGATAGCGGCAACGCAATCCTTTTTTCCCACTTTGTGCTCCCCGACTTCTCTGATCAAGGCAACTCGCCAGGGCAAAGTTGCTGGACGGGCTGGTAAGGATGCGCGGGGCTTGAAGAGGTCGTTGCGGGCTCAGACGGCATGCAAAAATCCGCCGCCGCGCTTGTGCGGCATTGGTTTGTTCAGTGAACGTGGTTTGGGTCGCGGGTGGGTCGCGGGCTCTCCACCTCCACCTGGAAGGAATGCAAACGCAACCCGCCGCAGGCGCCAACAAAAAATCGTTTGTACTCTGAACGCGGTTTGGGTCGCGGGTGGGCCGCGGGTTCTCCACCGGGAACAAATGCAAAAGATGCCCGCCGCAGGCGCCGAATAATTTGGCTTGTGCCCTGAATGTGGTCGCGGGTGGGCCGCGGGCTCCCCACCTGAAATGAACGCAAAAGATGCCCGCCGCAGGGGCCGAAAAATGCGGTTTGTACCCTGAACGTGGTTTGGGTCGCGGGTTGGTCGCGAGTTGGTCGCGGGGTGGGTCGCGGGCTCTCCAGCTGGAAAGAATGCAAGAAAAAGCCCGCCGCAGGCGCCGAAAATGGCAGTTTGTACCTTGAACGTGGTTTGGGTCGAAAGTGGGTCGCGGGTGGGTCGCGGGGTGGGTCGCGGGTGGGTTGCGGGTGGGTCGCGGGTGGGTCGCGGTGGGTCGCGGGTGGGTCGCGGGTGGGTCGCGGGTGGGTTCGCGGGTGGGTCGCGGGGTGGGTCGCGGGTTGGGTCGCGGGCGTGGGTCGCGGGGTGGGTCGCGGGGTGGGTCGCGGGGGTGGGTCGCGGGTGGGTCGCGGTTCGCGGGGTCGCGGGTGGGTCGCGGGGTGGGATCGCGGGTGGGTCGCGGGTGGGTCGCGGGGCGGGTTCGCGGGTGGGTCGCGGGTTGGTCGCGAGTTGATCACGGGGTGGGTCGCGGGCTCTCCACCTGGAAGGAATGCAAAAAAAGCCCGCCGCAGGCGCCGAAAATGTTGGTTTGTACCTTGAACGTGGTTTGGGTCGAAGGTGGGTCGCGGGTGGGTCGCGGGGTGGGTCGCGGGTGGGTCGCGGGTGGGTCGCGGGTGGGTCGCGGGTGGGTCGCGGGTGGGTCGTGGGGTGGGCGCGGGCGGGTCGCGGGGTGGGTCGCGGGTGGGTCGCGGGTGGGTCGCGGGTGGGTCGCGGGGTGGGTCGTGGGGTGGGTCGCGGGGTGGGTCGCGGGAGGGTCGCGGGTGGGTCGCGGGTGGGTCGCGGGTGGGTCGCGGGGTGGATCGCGGGGTGGGTCGCGGGGTGGGTCGCGGGCGGGTCGCGGGTGGGTCGCGGGTGGGTCGCGGGGTGGGTCGCGTGGTGGGTCGCGGGTAGGTCGCGGGGCGGGTTGCGGGTGGGACGACGACAGCATACAACAACAACAACAACAACAACAACAACAACAACAACAACAACAACAACAACAACAACAACAACAACAACAACAACAACAATCACTTTACCCGAACGCTCAGTGTTCTCACCAGTGCCAGGGTTTTCATGCGACGCCAGCCAATACCCCCACTTTGTGGGGGGGCAGTGCAAGCTCTACCAAATATCCACACGACTCTTCGCCACCACCCACACCCAGCTTCCCGCCCTATGACGTTCGGACACTTCACTTCGTGGCCTGCGGACGACCGTGGCTACTACACTGGCGTGGAGTACACACCCACAGAAGTTGTTTAGCCTACGTTCGTACACCCACAGAAGTTGTTAAGCCTTGTTAACCCACAGAAGTTGTTAAGCCTTCCACAGAACATCTGTTGCATATGATGCATATGGTACATGATACACATGATACACATGATACGTACTCACAAGATAGTTGATCACATTTTTAGGGCAAATTCCTGAGGGATGTGGGAATACACAAGAGAGAGAGGATATGGTTGTCCCGATGGTTGTCTCGATGGTTGTCCCGATGGTTGTCCTGAGGGTTGTGGTTGTCCCGATCGTTGTCCCGATGATTGTCCCGATGGTTGTCCTGATGGTTGTGCTTGTCCCGATCGTTGTCCCGATGACTGTCCCGATGATTGTCCCGATGGTTGTCCCGATGGTTGTTCCGATGGTTGTCCCGATGGTTGTCCCGATGGTTGTGAGCGATGCCGGATCCTCACGCCCCCCGCCGGAGGTTGGAAAACCATTGGTTTTTTTAGGATTCGGACAGCGCGCGCGGGTAGAAATTTTGAAAAGTCGTGCAGGTGTTTTTCGAGGACCTACGGTGCGATTCGTGTGATTTTATGATGCGCGGTGCTAAAATTCTTAAGAAGCCCAATGGTTTTTTGAGATTTCGGCGTGCGCGCGCGAAGAAAAAACGAATGTGTCCCGCATGGTATTATTTGACAGGGGTGATGGCCCTGGCAGGTGCGCAACCGTTGTCGCAGAAGTTCGAAAAAGTTGCTCGCAAAAGCCCGGTTGACAGAAATGTTTAAAAAGTGTTGGTTTTCCTACGAATCCGCAAGAGCGCGCGGGATGAGATTTTGACATTTTTTTGTTGAAAAACCATTGGTTTTTTGATGTTTTATGTTAAAATCGCTCCGAACACTAAGCTTTTGGAAGGATTTCGTCTTGCGCGCGCGAATGTCCACTTTACCTTATTTTTTGCAAGGGATTCTTGAAATTTGATTATATGAGAACAAGAAATGTCATTTTATAGTGTTTTTTGCAAGGGAAAACGGATTACAACAAAACAACCGGATCTGGATCACATCGTTTTACCTGAGGCTTCCTCACGAAAATGATGAAAATGTAGCTGCGGCCTAGGCGGCGCAGGGGGGGCGCGCACCAGGGGGCCCAACAATAATTATTCTTAGAATAAATAATGTTCAACACAGCACACGTTTTAGGCTGTCCTCTCCCTTGCCCGCGAGTCCTTCCACACTATCCCCTACCCCTCGATGCCCGCCCTCTTCGTCTTCGATCAACACCCCCTTTCGGGGGGATTATTTCTCTTGCTGGGGCGGGGCCGGCGGGCTATGACGTACGGGCAAACCGGAACGGGCGATCAATCCTTCGGGGGCGTACATCTCTCTGCCGCCATTGGAATTGGCGCGGCCCCTAAGAGGAGAGGGGAAGAACGAGGGAGAGTGGGAGGAAGGGGAGGGGGAAGGACGAAGGAAGAGGGAAGATACCACGTTGTGAAGGCGTCCTTGGCGCGTGCGTGTTCCTGAGCGCCGAAACGCAATTCCAGAATAATTTGTGAGGACGTCGCACGCGAGAGCGCAGTCCTGAGTACATTGTGAGGAAATCTCAGGCGGAAGCGGGGGCCCTGACTAAGTTGCGAGGAATTCTCAAGCGGGAGCGCCGTTCCTGAGCAAATTGCACGGAAGTCTCAGGCGGGAGTGGGGGTCCTCACTAAATTGCGAGGAAGTCTCAGGCGGGAGCGCCGTTCCTGAGTCAATTGCGCGGAAATGTCAGGCAGGAGCGGGGGTCCTGAGTAAAATTCGAAGAAGCCTCAGGCGGGAGCGCCGTTCCCACGTAAATTGCACGGAAGTCTCAGGCGGGAGCGGGGGTCTTGATTACATTGCGAGGAAGTCTCAAACGGGAGCGCCTTTCCTGAGTAAATTGCGCGGAAGTCTCAGGCAGGAGCGGGGGTCCTGATTAAAAATCGAAGACGTTTCAAGCGGGAGCCGTTGTTGTTGTAGCCCGGGGGGCAGGGGCACAGTTTGAGCAGGAAGACTTTCCTTGAGAAAAAACAAGGTGCGAAAAAATAAAAAAAAACGATAACAAAAAAAAAAAAAAACGAAAAAAAAAAAAATACGAAAAAAAAAAAAAAAATAAAAAAGAAAAAAAAAAAAAACGAAAAAAACAAAAGAAAAAAAGCCCCGGGGGTGGGATTCAATCGAAAAAATCAATGTGCAACACCGGTGGGAGGGATCAACATATTATTCTTTAGATGAAAAAAAAACGTTCAAACAACAACAACAACAACAACAACAACAATCATTAAAGACTGGGGACACTCCGTTCTCACCAGTGCCAGGGTTTTCATAGGAGGCGGGCAATACCCCCACTTTGTGGGGGGGCCGGTTCAAGCTCTACCAAATTTCCAAACGACGCTTCGCCACCACCCACACCCAGCTTCCCGCCCTATGACGTTCGGACACTTCACTTCGTGGCCTGCGGACGACCGTGGCTACTACACTGGCGCGTGGCTACTACACTGGCGGATTCTGGCCCCTGGCAGGCGCGCGAACCCCGTTGCAAGAGCGTGCGAAAGTAGCTCGCGCGAGCTCATGTAACATAAATGTTGGAAAACCATTGGTTTTTTTAGGATTCGGACAGCGCGCGCTGGTGGAAATTTTGAAAAGTCGTGCAGGTGTTTTTCGAGGACCTACGGTGCGATTCGTGTGATTTTATGATGCGCGGTGCTAAAATTCTTAAGAAGCCCAATGGTTTTTGGAGATTTCGGCGTGCGCGCGCGAAGAAAAAAACGAATGTGTCCCGCATGGTATTATTTGACAGGGATGATGGCCCTGGCAGGTGCGCAACCGTTGTCGCAGAAGTTCGAAAAAGTTGCTCGCAAAAGCCCGTTTGACAGAAATGTTTAAAAAGTGTTGGGTTTTCCTACGAATCCGCAAGAGCGCGCGGGATGAGATTTTGACATTTTTTGTTGAAAAACCATTGGTTTTTTGATGTTTTTATGTTAAAATCGCTCCGAACACTAAGCTTTTGGAAGGATTTCGTCTTGCGCGCGCGAATGTCCACTTTACCTTATTTTTTGCAAGGGATTCTTGAAATTTGATTATATTAGAACAAGAAATGTCATTTTATAGTGTTTTTTGCAAGGGAAAACGGATTACAACAAAACAACCGGATCTTGATGACATCGTATTACCTGAGGCTTCCTCACGAAAATGATGAAAATGTAGCTGCGGCCTAGGCGGCGCAGGGGGGCCGTGCACCAGGGGTCCCAACAATAATTATTTTTTAGAATTAATAATGTTCAACAACAACAACAACACCACCAACACCACCAACAACAACAACAACAACCAACAATAACCAACAAGAACCAACAAGAACCAACAACAACAACAACACCAACAACAACAACAACAACAACAACAACAATCATTTTACCCGAACGCTCAGTGTTCTCCCCAGTGCCAGGGTTTTCTTGCGACACCAGCCAATACCCCCACTTCGTGGGGGGGGCCGTTCAAGCTCTACCAAATATCCAAACGACTCTTCGAGACCACCCACACCCAGCTTCCCGCCCTATGACGTTGGGACACTTCACTTCGTGGCGTGCGGACGACCCTGGCTACTACACTGGCGTGGGGTACACACCCACAGAGGTTGATCACATCTGTTACATATGATGTGGTACACGGTACACGTGAGATGGTACGCAGTGCCAAGATAGTTGGTCACATTTTTGGGGCAAATTCGTGGGGATGCGATTACAGAAGTACATGTGTTACACTGATGTTATACAGTCCCAAGGATGACGCATGCATTGCTCATAGACTCATGGCGCTATGTGCGTCTCAAAGGATGGTGGCCCTCGCAGGCGCGCAACCGTTGTTGGAGAAGTTCAAAGCACCTGAAGAAGTAGCACGCAAAGACCCTTTTGACAGAAATGTTTAAAAAGTGGTGTGTTTCCTATGAATCCGCAAGAGCGCGCGGAAGGACATTTTGACAATTTTTTCTTAAAAAACCATTGGGTTTTTGATGTTTTTATGTTAAAATCGCTACGAAACCTAAGGTTTTGGAAGGATTTCGTCTTGCGCGCACGAATGTCCACTTTACCTTATTTTTTGCAAGGGATTCTTGCAATTTGATCAAGTAAAAACAAGAATTTTCATTTTCTATTGTTTTTTGCAAGGGAAAACGAGCGTCAACAAAAAACCGGATCCGGAGCTCATCCACTTTTCTGAAGCTTTCGCGAAAAAATGATGAAAATGTAGCTGCGGCCTAGGCGCGGCGCAGAGGTCGCGCACCAGGGGTCCCAACAATAATAATTCTTTAGAAGGAATAATGTTCAACAAACAATAACAAACAACAAACAACAAACAACAAACAACAAACAACAAACAACAGACAACAGACAACAGACAACAAACAACAAACAACAAACAACAAACAACAACAACGAGAATCCGCACCGCGTGTGGAGAGGTCCGCGGAGCCCCCGGAGGTGTCCTCATAAGCACTGGGCATTTCGACTGTGTGGCGGCATCCTTGTTTTCCAGGATACGTGATGATGCAAGTAGGGTGCGATTTATTTTCTCCGAAAGCCAGACGAAGGCGGCCAACGAGCCGCAGCTAGGTGGCCGGACCCCGGTGTGCAGTCTGACCCCAATTAGGCTTGCGCTCTCTTGGGCGCGCCCCTGGGCTGTGGCCTCGCCTTTTGCTGCTTTCCTGGGAGCCTCGAATCGTCCCACGTCTGCCTCAAGGCTGGTCTGGTGGCGCCCCGTAGCGCTCACCGCGGCACGTCTGCCTCAAGGCCGGTCTGGTGGCGCCCCGTGGCGCTCACCGCGGCACGTCTGTCTCAAGGCCGGTCTGGTGGCGCCCCGTGGCGCTCACCGCGGCACGTCTGTCTCGAGGCCGGTCTGGTGGCGCCCCGTGGCGCTCACCGCGGCGCAAGCCGGTCTGGTAGCGCCATTCGGCGCTCACCGCGGCATGCTGTAATGTTATACACGTCTTCCTTGGATGTGCATGCAGCACGTCCGTAACCATTTTGGCTCAAGCCCAAACGGGCTTGCAGCTAATAGGTGATACTGTAAACTACCCGAGCGCAGACTGTGCATGGGAAAATACCGACCGAGACAAAAGCGAGCTGGCCGTCAAGTACGGGCCAGAGTGGCCAACAGCGAGGCCAACATAGAGAACAACATAAGCGAGACAACCCAAAACGTGACTCAACAAGTGGGGGCTGCTCCGGGAAACAGCCGGGGCCAGATTGATTCTTTGCCCCGGCACGATGAGCACACGGACATTGGAACAGAGGGGGCGAGGGCGACTCTGGCGGCTCGCAGGGAGCAGGACCGCCAGGGGGCAGCAGCAGCAGCTGCTGCACAGGAAGTCGTACCGAGTGGGTATGAAGAGGGTCAGCTGGTGGCCCACGGGTCGGCGTGGGCTTCTGGCGCCTGGGTGGAGCCGCGCGGCCAGCTCCGGCCAGTTCGTGGCGCTCGTGGCGCCGGGTCCCACGGGCAGCTGCCGGCGCTCGTCTGCGTCGAGTGTTCGGAGTACATCGGCGCGGAGCTGTACACGAACTGCAACAGGTGCGGCGAGCCGGTCCACGCTGCGTGTGGGCACCGTGGCCAGGACCCCTACGGACCCACGCAGGAGCTGTACTGCAGTGAGTGCCTGCAGCGACTCGAGGAGCTCCTCTGGGCGGAGCGCGTGCAAGGCGAGGTAGCATCCCAGCGTCGTTCTGGCATGGCTTCCCAGGCCCTATCGACGACAGCTGGCGTCGTCGCCAGCAGTGCTTTTGTTGTTGGGGCTGCTGTTGGGGCGACCGCAGCCACTGCGGTTCGCGCGGCTGGCGCCGTCTCCCGGGGCATCGTCGCTGGAGTGGAGCTGGCCCGGCCGCGGCAGGAGGAGACCGCGGAGATCCCGGCTGGCACTGAGCACGCCGCCTTGCCGCCGATGCCAGAGGAGGGGAGCAGGGAGGAGCAGGATGGCAGAGGAGAGGAGCGTGAGGGCCCAGAGGAGGATCAGGACGGCAGTGCAGAGGAGCAGGAAGGAGGCGCTGAGGACCAGGAGGAGGCCGAGGAATTCACGACGCCTCCCCGTGGGCCGGTGGAGTCGGCTTCGGCGAGCGCCCCTGGCGCGCGTCCGCGCGCCCTACGGCCGACGCCTCCCTGGGAAGATCCTGAGCTGCCAGATCCGTGGCAGGGCTCTGGCGACCCTTGGTCTCCACCGCGCGGCGGGCGAGGAGGCCCCGGCGCCTATGTCTCTGGATCGACGCTCGACGGTGGCACGGCCGAGCCGATCGACGAGCCGCAGCGGAGCGAGGGCGCCGGCCCGCCGGGACTCGGCGCGGCGCCGCGGCATCCTCGCCAGAGGAATGCCGGCGATTGCCGGGAGGAGGTCCGCCGGGCAGGGCGCGGAGGAGGAAGAGGAGGTAGAGGTCAGCAGGAGGAGACCTCAGGAGGAAGTCCTCAGCTCGGACGCCGTGCTGCTCATGAGGATGAGGAGGAGGACGAGCAGGAGGGGGTCGACGGGGCGGATGACGTTGGCCCCTCGGCGGCGCCAGGCGCGCGTCCTGCTCGCGGCACGCGTGCCGCAAGGGCTCAGGATGAGGAGCGCAATGAGGCGAGGAGTGGCCACGGCCTGCAGGAGAGGGCACGAGGGCCCGCTGGACTCCAGGAGGAAGGAGGGCGGCCGTGCGAGGAGCAGGTTGGACGTGGTGGACGTCCCTCGGGCGCAGTGCGGAGGCCGGAGGTGCTTCCACAGAGGTTTGGATACGAAGCTGATCGTCGTGGGGCTCGCGCGGAAGCACGTGGAGGTGCGGACGAGCGGCTCGACCACCAGCCGAGGTTTCGTGCAGAGGGCCCTGCACGAGGAGGGTATCAGGGTGCTGCGGGAGAGCGAGGAGCCAAGGGAGGTTGGCAGGGAGCGGCCGCAGCGGAGAGGGAGAGAGGGGAGCGTTGGTTCCCGCCTGCGAGGGGCGGCGGGGGTCCGTCAGCGATGAGCGCGGGAGACCGCCGTGGGTTTCCAGGTGGAGGCGGTGGAGGTGCACCGCCGCCTGGAGGAGGTGCACCGTCGCCTGGAGGACAGCGAGAGCGTCGTGGACAGGACGATGGCGCTGGTCGCGGAGGAATGCCCTTCCGGCGAGGGCCGCCGAGAGATGGCGGCAACGGAGGAGGAGGCGGCGGCGGGGATCCTCCATCAGGCTTCGACGAGTACGAAGACGAGGATGAGGATGAGGAGGAAGAAGAGGAGGCTCACCCCCGAGCATCGCTGCGAGGTCGGCGTGCGCTGGAGTTCGACCGCGCTTACCTTCGAGGGCGCGTGGAGGCGCTCGAGGAGATGCTGAGGACGAGGCCTCCAGCTGCTCCTCCACCGGCGCCGGCAGCAGGTTCAGGGAGCGCCGGACGCACGAACATCAGGGTTAAGGCGGAGGTCGAGTGGCCGAAGTACGACGCCACGGACATCTACTACGACGTGGAGGTTTTTCAAGGACCTCAAGCGCGTCATGATGCTGGCCTCCGCTGGGAAGGGTTACCCAGCCCAGGAGAAGTTGGAGATGCTTCGAGGCGGACTCTCCGGCGTGCCGCTCTTGGACTTCAAGACGTTCGTCGACGACAACGAGCTGCGCAACGCGACGCTCGAAAGGGGCACGGATTCCGCGCGTGAGGATTTGTGGCAGGAGGTTGAGGCTTATCTTAAGCGTTCTTTTCATCGACCTCTTCTGGAACGCCAGCGGCGGGCTCGTGCTGAGTACAACGCCTGTTCGATGAGGAACGGGGAGATCCGGGAGTACATGGCCTTCCAGACCGACAACAAGCGCTGCTTGAAGAATCTGGAGCGGAGTGGCCTGGCAAAGGCCCGCGAGGAGGTGAAGGTGGACTTCATCGAGAAGCTGACGGAGGAGTGCGCTACCCATCTTATGCTGACCCCGTACACGGACGCTCGTACAGGGAATGTTGGCTTGGTGCGGGATCTGGAGGCCGCTATGGAGATGGCCCGGTCGTTCTTCGCCGTGCAGGACACGAAGCGCGTGGTCTTTGCCGCGGAGGAGATTGAGGTCAACCGCGAGGCACGGTTCGGCGGCCGGCTGGGGCAACCGAGCCACGGCTTCCGCTCGAACCCCCAAGGAGGAGGAGGAGGAGCAGCAGCAGGAGGAGAAGGCTCGCGACGACTGCAGCCAGGGCGTGCCAGCACGTGTGACATGTGTGGTGGAGTTGGACACTTACGTCGAGGCTGTCCCAGCGGTAAGCGTCGGGGCGGAGCGGATCCGACGAAGGAGTGCGCCATTTGCTTGGGCAAGGGGCATACTGCTCTTGACCATCGGCTTCCTGGAGTCGGTCACTGCGAGGAGGAGGACTATCGGGACCTGGGGCTCGAGGAGGAGTTCGCCGCCGAGACTGCCAGGGACGCCGCGGCCAAGGGAGGGGGCAAGGGAGGAGGAGGATCATGTTGGAACTGGCAGAAGGACGGGACCTGCAAGTTCGGCGACAGGTGCCGGTTTCAACACGGACCGGCTGATCGGCGACATCCTCATTTCCCGGCTCCGCCGTCCAGCCCAGCAGCTGGTGGAGGTAAAGGGGGAGGAGGCCTGCCAGTGCATCGTTGCGAAGCCTGCGAGAAGGAGTTCTCGTCGGAGCAAGCGCTGCGGGTGCATTCCGTGACGAAGCCTGAAGCTGGGGCCGACCCGAGGGCCGGAAGGATTCTGCAGCTCCATCTGCAGGCCATGTCGCCCAGCGAAGCTCGACCGAGGAACGCTACGCGTTCGACGAGCTGGAGGACGAGGCGGCCCTACCGACAGAGGAGATCCCCTTCCCTGCCGACGACGCGCCCTCCGGGCCGCCCGAGGCGCAGCTGGCCGTGTCCCCGCCCTTGCGCCGGTTCGCGGACATCGCGAACATTCGGCCGCGACCTCGCCCAGAGCCGGGCCGCAACCACAAGCTGTGGATCTCCTTCGGGGGCGTGCGCGTCAAGGGCTGCAAGGACACAGGCGCGGCGGCGACGACGATTCCAGAGAGCCTGGTGATGCGTATCATCCGGCAGCACGCCGACACCGATCCTGGCTCCAAAGATTACCCCATTGGGGAGCTGATGGAGTACCGGCCGCCTATCAGGCTGATAGGGTTCGCTAGCGCGGAGCCGGTGGACATCAAGTACGGCTGCGTCCTCTACACCACCTTCCACGACTATCGCGGCTCTTCGAAGACCGTGCCGATCGAGTACCGCGTCGTCCCAGACGAGCGCGATGGCGGAGGCTATCCTCTGCTCGGCGCCCGCACTGTGGGGCCAGAGGGGTTGCACATCGACACGACTCTGGAGCACCACGTCGTGCGGAAGTTGGGCCTGACTTGTGCTCGTGCTGAGCTCGGTCGCCCGTGCGGCCGCGAGGAGGTCGCTGAGGAACAGCGCGGGGTTCAGCACGTCTTCCGGGCCACGGAGGATGTCTACGTGCCTGCCGGCGAGGAGCGGGTGGCCAAGGTCGCGGTTCCTCATCGTTCACTCGCGGCTCTGTGCGGTAGTAGCCGCAGTGTTCCCAACTGGCTCTTGCCGTGCGGTGAGCCGTCTGTGGTGGAAGGGCCGTGCGACTTCTGCGACGCCTTCGCTGCTGCGGCGGAGGCAGAGGAGGAGGAGGAGGAAGAGCAGGAAGAGGAGGAGCTTGAGGTGCTCGCGCGGGCTCCTGAGGACGCGCCGCTGCACATCGAGCCAGGCGCGCCCGTGGCGAGGCTAGGCGAGGAGGAGGAGGCGGACGAAGAGTTGCAGGTGGCGTGGAGGGAGGCGGCCGAGGAGACAGTCGAGGATGAGGAGATAGGAGAGGTGATCTTCGCTGGGCCCCCAGCGCCCTGTCTTTCGGCCTCGGCCTTGGCGCAGCGCGAGCATGACTTCCGCTCGGCGTTTCGTGCCGCAGATCCTACGGTCATCGAGCACCTCGTTCGCCTCTCCGCTGTCCTCGAGACGGCGGCCAACGGTGGACTGTCGTTTAAACTCTCGAAGTGCCAGCTGCTCCAGCCCGAGCTGCGCCTGCTTGGCACGATCACGGGGCGGGAGGGGCAGAAGCCTGACCCAGCCAAGGTCCAGGGCATCATGGACTTCCCACCGCCCACGACGAAGGGCCAGTTAGGGGAGTTCTTCGGCAGCGTGAACTGGTTGAGGCCATTCTTGTCGACCGCGTTTTCGAGGGAGAGCGCGGGACTCCGCAGGTACCTCAAGAAGGAGGTGGACGACAACTACGGCGCTTTGGATGAGGAGGGGATGGCTTCCTTCCGCATGATCCAGAAGCTCGTCGCGGAGTTCATCGCCCTCTGCGTGCCGGACTACGCGGCCGCGGCGGACTGGGAGCGCACAGGTAGATGCTTCGAGATCGTTCTTGATGCTTCGCTCCTGGGCGGAGGCGCGGCGCTCTTCCAGCTGGACGCCGAGCTCGGCAAGCCGCGACCTCTTGCTATGTGTTCCCGGTCGTTCACTACGGCGCAGCAGGCTTGGCCGGCCTGGCAGCGAGAGCTTTGGATGATGAAGGAGGCGGTCCTCGAGTTCGCCCCGATTTGCGCGCGCCGGTTATCGGACCCTGGCTTGGACGGACCACCGGAACAACACCTCCGTGTCCATGATCCCTCCCGAGGAGTGCGGCGAGAAGGTGATCCGGTGGTGGGGCATCATCCTTCAGAGCGGCGTCATCGTCTGCTTCTTGGCTGGCAAAGTGAACCCTTCCGATGGTTTGTCCAGGAACCCCCGGGATCGTGACGCCTTGCTGGCACGGCGGGCTTGGCTGCTCAAGAACCCCTCGGAGCTCGCCGCGGACTTCAAGCAGACGGAGTTCGAGGACACCCTGACTCTCCAACAGCTTGCGGACGCTCGATGGTCGCTATTCCGGTCTCCTTGGGAGTTGGAGGAGGTGGAGGCTGGGGAGGTGTTCGTTGCCACAGGAGGTGGAGGATTCCGCAACATCCTGAAGGTGCTCGCCGTGCCTTCTTGGGAGGCCGTCGAGCCCGGCACATTCGCGAAGGAGGTGGAGAGGCTGCTCGTGGCCGCCCGCTCCGAAGAGGCTGATCTCTTCGCGCCGCTCGTGGTGGAGGCCGACGCGCCCATGGTAGACGAGGAGGGCTTGGGCTTCTGGTTCCGCCAGCCGCGGGGGCCAGACAGCGCGTCCTCCCGCAAGGAGCTGCGTCGCTCGCTCTTCACGGCCGTCCTGGAGCTTCTGCGGCAAATGCGCCGCCGGCCACCCCACGTAGTCGTAGCGTTGGGCCAAGGTGCTGTTGTGGCCGCGTTCGCCTGCCACCCTGCTGTCCGCGAGCTGGTTTACCGGCACCGCTTCGTCCAGCCTTTCGAGTCCGAGGCGATGGAGTCGGCGGCCAAGGGCGTTGCGCAGTGGTTCTTCGTGCATGCTGCCGCTGTGCTGCGCGCGGGCCTGATGTCGAGGCTCTTCGACCTCGTGCCGGAGATGACGCCACTCCCCGACGTGTGGTCTGAGCACCAGGTGCAGCGGGGAGCAAGCTCGCGTTCTGACGCTCGCTGTCTGGCCGCGCGCTTCCCGAACGGCGCGGTGCTGGAGTGCGGAGGAGGCCGTCGCGATTTCGCTGCACTGAAGGTCCGAGGACCTCTGCCCACGCCCATCGCCTTCGAGGAGGACCTCACGCTGCAGGAGGCGGAGAGGAACGTGAGGAGGCATCAGGACGAGGAGGATGAGGAGGAGCAGAGGCAGCACCAGGCGGAGATGAGCGTGAGGAGGCATCAGGATGAGGAGGATGAGGAGGAACAGCTGCAGCACCAGGCGAGGAGGAGCGTGAGGAGGCGTCAGGATGAGGAGGATGAGGAGGAGCTGATGCAGCACCAGGCGGAGCCGAGCGTGAGGCGGCGTGAGGACGAGGAGGACGAGGCCAGGCGCGGCCACGTCGATGGCACAGGATTGGGCCGCCTAGCCGGGCCGCTCCGTCCGTACGTCGTCACGGCCCAGGAGCTCGACCCCGTGTGCTCCAAAATGCTCTGGTACCTGAGCTGGGAGACGGAGAAGGTCGTGAAGCCTAGCGTGGACCTCCGGGCCCACGGCCTCACGCAGGAGGATGCGGCCCGCTTGAGGAGGGAGGCTGCCAGGTTCTGCATCGGCGAAGACGGTGCTTTGCTTCGACGGCTGACTCCGGAGCTCCCTGGAGATCCGGCCGCAGTCCCAGTACTTCCGGCAGGAGCGTTGATTCCCGAGGTGGAGCGCGATCCCCACCGGGATCGCGCCGTGAAAACGACGTGGAGGAACTGGGCGATGCTGGCCGCCCACGCGGGCGAGTACGGCGGCCATGCGAAGCTGGAGGAGGCCCTTGTGAAATTGAGGGCGACAGCATGGTGGAGTTCGATGTCCAACGACCTGGCTCGATTCATCGAGCGCTGCCCGACTTGCGCCTCAGACCGTCGCCCGGGTCGGTTGGCCCTCACCCGGTCTGAGCATCCGCGGACCCCATTCGACACCGTCCAGATCGACTTGCAGGGGCCGTGGTGCCCTGGCAGCAAGGAAGGGTGGCGATACGTCTTCACTCTGATCTGCGTCTTTACTCGGTACCCCACGCTCCGCAGCCAGAACACGAAGTCCAAGACGGACACGGCCAGAACCTTCTCATCCATCATCTGGGAGTTGGGCACGTTCCCGAGGGTCGTGCAGAGCGATAGGGGCCGCGAGTTCGTGAACGACTTGATGCAGGAGGTCTTGGTGCTGCTCCGCATGCGGCCGTATACCACACCGGCCTACACCCCGAGGATCAACGGCATCGTCGAGAGGAGCCACCAGCAGATGGCGACGACGTTGCGGCTGCTGGTGCACGAGCTCGCCAAGAGCTCCCCGCAGCTGTGGGGCGAGTTTCTGGCGTGCCTGCAGTACCACCTCCGCCATCACCGGGTTGCGGACAGCCAGGTGACCCCTTTCCGCCTTGTTCATGGTTGGGCCGCTGCGCTGCCGACGCAGCGCTCGCTGGCGCTCGCTGGCCCCTTGGGCCACGGTTCCGGCAGCCATGGTCGAGGACGAGTGGCTTCGCTCGATGGTCGTGGGCTGGAAGGCCATCACGTCCCGCTTTAAGGCCTACTTGGACGACTACGAGGTGAAGGCAGCCATGGCGAGGGACCGCAAGGCGCGCTGGCAGGTCTTCCGCGCGGGCGACATGGTCATGCTCGAGCGGCCGCCGCGCGTGGGCGACCCGAGCAAGGGCCTCCTCGAGGCGATGGAGGGCCCGTACCGCATCATCCGCATGATCGGGGAGCACCGCGCAGTGCTGGCGGAGCTGGACAGCGAGACCTTGGTTCCGCGCGCGCCGGCTGGAGAGCACGGCATCGCGACTTCTCGATTGACCCTGGTGCCGGCGGCCGTTTGCCGCCCACTGCGGTTGGACGAGGATTCGCCGTCCGCCGAGGCGCCGCTTCTACGAGAGGATGCACGGCGGCGGTGGTCGAAGGCGACTCCTGGCGTGCTGTTGCTGGCCGAGGGTTCGGACGGAGCTTTCCTCGGCGAGGTGAGGGTGAGCTACCCTCGTCGCCTCTTGGTCTCCCTGGCCCGCTTTGGCATGCGAGCAGACGGCACGTGGGCCCGGCTCTACCTGCGTGCTGACGGAGTGGAGACGTTCGACCCGACCCTGACCGAGGTGCGCGCCGACGTTCCCTACGTGGATCTTCGCGCGGAGGCTCGTTTGTCTGACAGTCGCCTGGACGCGCGCTCCCGCAGAGCAGCGGAGGCGTTGCATTTGACATTTCGGCCTCATGCAGCGCCTGCTGCCGAGGAGCCGCCGGCGCGTCCTGAGGACATAGCCGCTGCTTCGCCGACTCTGGAGGACACGTTTCCGGAGGTGCCCAACGTATTCATCGACGGCTCCCGGAGGTCCGTCGTGCCGAAGGCCATGGACGCCGACGAGCTTCGGAGGATCAAGACGGACGAGATTGTCTTCGATACGGCAGCCAGGTCGACAGCACGGTACGCCGAGATCATCGCTTTCGAGGCTTGGCAGCTTGCCCGTGCCAACCCCCACATATCAGATGAGGATCGTGCAGCCTTAGTGTGGGTGTGTGTGGAGTGGCGGGAGGCCCTGTGGATCGAAGGCGCATCATTCACGCGAGTGAGCGGTGCTGCCTATGATGTCGACGTGGCCGGTGCTGCCCCGATCTCGCAGCAGCCGTATCGCAAGAGCCCTGCTGAGGCTGCAAAATGCGAGGCCCACATATCAAAGAACTTGGCGATGGGGCTTCTGACACGACACGTTGGCGCCTGGTCTACGCCGGCCTTCGTGGTCCCACAGGCGTCGAAGCCGAACGGGCGCCTGGTGTGCGACTATCGTCGTGTTAACGCCGTGACTCGTCGCATGTACTACCCGATCCCGCGGGTTGATGATACATTGCGACGGTGTGCTGGCAGACGGTGGCTTTCTTCGCTGGACGCCGTGAGCGGCTTCAATCACCTTCCTCTGACGCCGCGGGCACGGGAGATTTTGGCAATTTGCACTTTCTCTGGTCTCTACGCGTGGGAGTCCCTGCCATTTGGGCCATGCGACGGGCCGCAGGCTTTCCAGGCAGTGATGCGACGTGTCTTCGACGGCTACGCGGCGGACTGGTTGGCTATCTACATAGACGACCTGTGCATTGCCAGCGGAGCGGCTTGAGAATTGAAGAAATGAGCGCACTCAGGGCGTTACGACAGATGGCGCTCATGGTCACCTGATGCACCTGCTTTGCAGTTTTCCTCCGGGCGCGAGCTTCGAAGCGTCCTTCTGCGTGCGCGCTCAGAGGGGGACGACTTGTGGAGAGGTCCGCGGAGCCCCCGGAGGTGTCCTCATAAGCACTGGGCATTTCGACTGTGTGGCGGCATCCTTGTTTTCCAGGATACGTGATGATGCAAGTAGGGTGCGATTTATTTTCTCCGAAAGCCAGACGAAGGCGGCCAACGAGCCGCAGCTAGGTGGCCGGACCCCGGTGTGCAGTCTGACCCCAATTAGGCTTGCGCTCTCTTGGGCGCGCCCCTGGGCTGTGGCCTCGCCTTTTGCTGCTTTCCTGGGAGCCTCGAATCGTCCCACGTCTGCCTCAAGGCCGGTCTGGTGGCGCCCCGTGGCGCTCACCGCGGCACGTCTGCCTCAAGGCCGGTCTGGTGGCGCCCCGTGGCGCTCACCGCGGCACGTCTGTCTCAAGGCCGGTCTGGTGGCGCCCCGTGGCGCTCACCGCGGCACGTCTGCCTCAAGGCCGGTCTGGTGGCGCCCCGTGGCGCTCACCACGGCACGTCTGTCTCAAGGCCGGTCTGGTGGCGCCCCGTGGCGCTCACCGCGGCACGTCTGTCTCGAGGCTGGTCTGGTGGTGCCCCGTGGCGCTCACCGCGGCGCAAGCCGGTCTGGTGGCGCCATTCGGCGCTCACCGCGGCATGCTGTAATGTTATACACGTCTTCCTTGGATGTGCATGCAGCACGTCCGTAACCATTTTGGCTCAAGCCCAAACAGGCTTGCAGCTAATAGGTGATACTGTAAACTACCCGAGCGCAGACTGTGCATGGAAAAATACCGACCGAGACAAAAGCGAGCTGGCCGTCAAGTACGGGCCAGAGTGGCCAACAGCGAGGGCAACATAGAGAACAACATAAGCGAGACAACCCAAAACGTGACTCAACACGCGGAATCCCACTTCAGCCACGCACCCAGGGACAGTGAATGACCGTTCGGCCCCCTCACTCTGATGTGTTCACCATCTTGGCAATGCACCTCTGACGTGCACGGCTTTCTTTTTTTTTTTTTTACTCTCTCTCTCTCTCTCTCCCTCTCTCCCTCTATATATATATTTATGTACGTAACACCCCGCAATTGCGGATAAGAGTGAGGGGGTGGGCGCGGGCGACGCGGACGTCGTCGAGCCGGCGGACCTCGTGGCCCCTACCTTCCCTGTCGATGGCGCTCTCCTCCTCCTCCTCCTCCTCCTCCTCCTCCTCGTCCTCGTCCTCGTCCTCATCGTCATCGTCATCCTCCTTTTCCACCTCGTCCTCCTCCTCATCCTCCTCCTCCTCTTCTTCCTCGTCCTCCCTCTCCCCCCCTCGTCCTTCCATCATCGTCCTCCCATTGTCGTCCTCCCCCTCACCGGCCTCCATCATCGTCCTCCCATTGTCGTCCATCATCATCATCATCATCGTCCCCCTCCTCCCCCTCCTCCCCCTCCTCGTCCTCCTCCTCCCCCTCCTCCCCCTCCTCGTCCTCCTGCTCCTTCTCGTCATCTTTCTCCACATTCTCCTTACATCCTCTCTTCTTCCGCGTCCTCCTCGTCGCCTGTTTTTTCCTCGTGCCTCCCCCTCCTTCCCCAAGATAACGGCAACGCAATCCTTTTTTTCCACTTTGTGCTCCCCGACTTCTCTGATCAAGGCAACTCGCCAGGGCAAAATTGCTGAACGGGCTGGTAAGGATGCGCGGGGCTTGAAGAGGTCGTTGCGGGCTCAAACGGCATGCAAAAATCCGCCGCCGCGCTTGTGCGGCATTGGTTTGTTCAGTGAACGTGGTTTGGGTCGCGGGTGGGTCGCGGGCTCTCCACCTCCACCTGGAAGGAATGCAAAAGCAACCCGCCGCAGGCGCCAAAAAAATTGGTTTGTACGCTGAACGCGGTTTGGGTCGCGGGTGGGCCGCGGGTTCTCCACCGGGAACAAATGCAAAAGATGCCCGCCGCAGGCGCCGAATAATTTGGTTTGTGCCCTGAACGTGGTCGCGGGTGGGCCGCGGGCTCTCCACCTGAAATGAATGCAAAAGATGCTCGCCGCAGGCGCCGAACAATGTGGCTTGTACCCTGAACGTGGTTTGGGTCGCGGGTTGGTCGCGAGTTGGTCGCGGGGTGGGTCGCGGGCTCTCCACCTGGAAGGAATGCAAGAAAAAGCCCGCCGCAGGCGCCGAAAATGGCGGTTTGTACCTTGAACGTGGTTTGGGTCGAAGGTGGGTCGCGGGTGGGTCGCGGGGTGGGTCGCGGGTGGGTTGCGGGTGGGTCGCGGGTGGGTCGCGGGTGGGTCGCGGGTGCGTCGCGGGGTGGGCCGCGGGCGGGTCGCGGGGTGGGTCGCGGGCGGGTCGCGGGTGGGTCGCGGGTGGGTCGCGGGGTGGGTCGTGGGGTGGGTCGCGGGGTGGGTCGCGGGTGGGTCGCGGGGCGGGTTGCGGGTGGGACGACGACAACATACAACAACAACAACAACAACAACAACAACAACAACAACAACAACAACAAACACCGAACAACAAACAACAAACAACAACCAACAAACAACAACAACGATAATTCGCACCGCGGAGTCCCACTTCAGCCACGCGCCCAGGGACAGTGAATGACCGACCGGCCCCCTCACACATATATATATACTAGAACCACGCGCGCTACGCGCGCGCTTAGGTTCTAGGTTCGTCCGGGGCAACGGTTAAACAACGGACGAGGAGGTTGAAGGCTGAATGCACTTCGGTTATTCGTCGAGTTTCATGGTCGTGGTTCGAAAAGCTTGCGGGCGCTCCTCACCCCCAAGCGGCCCGAGGCGGCCGAAAACGACACCTCTTCCTCGTCCTCCTCTTTCCCCCTGCCCCCCCTCTCGTCCTACTCTTCCTCCTCCCCCCATCGTCCCCTCCTTTCCCCCCTTCCTCCTCCTCCGCCCCCTTCCTCCCCTCCTCCTCCTTTCCCTCATCCTCATCCTTCTCTTCTGCCTCCTCCTCCGCCCCCTCCTCCTTATCCTGCTACTTTCCCTCCTCCTCCTCCTCCTCTTCCTCCTCCTCCACACTTCCTCCTCCTCCTCCTCCCCCCCCCCCCCCCCCCCCTCCCCTCCCCACCTCCTCCTCCTCCTCCTCCTCCTCCTCATCATCATCACCATCACCATCACCATCATCATCTTCATCATGTTCCTCCTCCTCCTCCTCCTCCTCCTCCTCCTCCTCTCCCTCCTCCTTCCCTCCTCCTCCTCTTTCTCCTCCTCCTCCTCCTCCGCCTCCTCCTCGTCTTCCTCCTCCTCCTCCTCCTCCTCCTCCTCCTCCTCCTCCTCCTCTCACTTCTCCTTCTCTTGCTCCTTCTCCTCCTCCTGTTCAGACTACATGGCTCGCCAAACGGCACTGCGACGCCGCGCAAGCATTGGGCCACATCGGATAAAAGGGAACACTCGGGGAAGGCTTCCTTCTTGCTCTTCCTCCTCCTTCTCTCCTCTTCCTCCACATCCTGCCCCCCTCCTCCTGCTCCCTCCTCCGCCCCTCCTCCTCCTCTCCTCCTCTCCTCCTCCTCCTCTCCTCGTCCCTTCCCCTCCTCCTCCTCCTCCTCCTCCTCCTCTTCCTCCTCCTTCTCCTCCTCCTCCTCCCCTCTCCTCCTCCTCCTCGTCCTCCTCGCCTCCTCCTCCGCCTCCTCTTCCTCCTCCTCCTCCCCCTCCCCTCCTCCTCCTCCTCTCCTCCTCCTTCTCCTCCTCCTCCTCCTCCTCTCCCCCTCCCCCCCCCTCCCCATCATCATCATCATCAGCATCATCATCAGCATCATCCGAATCATCATCATCATCATCCTCATCCTCATCATCACATCATCATCAGCATCATCATCATCCCTCTTCCCTCCTCCTCCCCCCGCCCCCCTTTCACTCCACCCGTCCTCCCCCCCTCGTCCTCCTCTTCCTCCTCCTCCTCCTCGTCCATCTCCTCTTCCTCCCTTCCTCTTCCTCCTCCTCCTCCTCCACCGCCTCCGCGTGCAAGAAATCCAACAACGTGTCGCGGAAATCAACGAACTGTGCCCCTCCGGGTTTCTTCGAGCGTCCTTTTAGGTCTTGTCGGGGCCGTCTTAGGGCCCGGGCCCCCTTGGGCGTCCTGGGAGCCCCGAAATCATGTTCCGATAGAGGCATCGGGGAACAAGATTTCGGACGCTGCGGAAGAGGCCTCCCGAGAATCTCTATGGGCAGCTCTGCTTGCCCCCGTTGTGGCTCTGTTGGGTGCCTTTTGGGGCTCTCTTGGGCTGGCTTGTAGCTATCATGGGTCATCTTGAGTCCCTCTTGGGCCGTCTTGGGGCTCCTCGGGGTGGCACTGTGAAGACGTCGTCGTCGTCGCCGTTCGCCGATCGGCGGCGTCAACTGTTGTCATCGTCGTCCATCGTCGTCGTCGTCGTCGGTCGTCGCCGTCGACGACCGTCGTCGTCATCGTCAATCACCGTCGCCGATCACCGTCGCCGATCGTCGATCGGCCCCGAGCCCTCCCGCCCACTCATCCTCCTCTCCTCCTCCTCCTCCTCCTCCTCCTCCTCCTCCTCCTCCTCCTCCTCCTCCTCTTCCTCCTCCTCCTCCTAATCTGCCTCCTCTTCCTCTTCCTCCTCCTCCTCCTGAAATCATGTTCCCGGAGACGCTTCGGGGACAGGATTTCGAACGATGCAGAAAAGACTGGGTCCAGGGTGGCTCTGCGCACGCGGACAGCGTCGCCGCCGTCGGCGCGGCCGTCGTCGTCGTCGCCGTCGTTCGTCGATCGGCGACGTCGACTGTTGTCATCGTCTTCTATCGTCGTCGTCGTCGTCGGTCGTCGACCGTCGTCGTCGTCGTCGTCGTCGTCGTCAATAACCGTCGCCGGTCGTCGTCGCCGATCGTCGATCGCCCTCGAGCCTCCTCCTCTCTCCCCCCCTCCTCCCCTCCACTCCTCCTCCCCGCCTCCTCCT